CCCCCGAGATTCTTTTACACTCTTTCAAAAACCAAACACCTGGAACCCTCGAGATACTTAAAAAAGCTTTTAAAAACACACAAGAAACCGCAAAACTCTTTTATCTCTTTTCGAAATACCAAATGCTCCAGAAGTTCTTTTAAAATCTTTCAAAACACCAAGACTTCCAGATATACTTTTAAATTCTTTCCAAAACAAAACACAAAAGCCCTCAGATTTTTTTTAAAATTCTTTCAAAAATAAAACACCAGGAGCCCCCGAGATTCTTATAGAATCTTTCAAAAACACAGCACAAAAGATCATCGAGATTCTTTTATATTCTTTCGAAATATAGAAGTTCCTTTAAAATCTTTCAAAACGCCGTAAGTCCCAAAGATTCTATTAAATTATTTCCCAAACAAAACGCCAAGGATTCCAGAGGTTGTTTTAAAGTCAATCGAAATGGAACCAGTATCACTCCCAGAGGTACTCTTAAATTCTTTCAAAAATAAAACACCGAAGGTTCCAGAAATTCTTTTAAATTCTTTCTTCAAAAACAAAACACTTGAAAGGACAAAGATTTTTGAATTCTTTCAAAAACAAAAGACCCCCGAGATTCTTTTAAATTATTTCAAAAACAAAAAACCAAGGGCCCCAAAGATTTTTTCAACTTTTTTCAAAAACAAAATAGCAAAAGTCCTAAAATTCTTTTCAATTTTTTCAAAACATCAACGGCTCCAGAAATTCTTTTAATTCTTTCAAAAAAAACTAAGGCATTCAGAAATTACATATTTTAAATTTTTTCAAAAATAAAACACAAAGGACCCCCAGGTCCTCTAAAAATCTTTCAAAAACACAGATTCTTTAAAATTCTTTGGAAACACTAAGAGGAGCAAAGAATATTTTAATTCTTTTGAAACACCACGGGACCCAGGGATTCTTTTAAATTCTTTCAAAACATCAAGAGCTTCAGAGATTCTTCTAAATTCTTCCAAAAGCAAAACATGGCCCATGAGATTCTTTTCAAATCTTTCAAAAACACAACACAACGGACTCCTAATTTTTTTTTAAATTCCTTGAAAAAAACAAGTGTTCCCAGATTATTTTAAATCCGTACAAAAACAAAACTCTCAAAAGTTGCAAGATTTTATTAATTCGCATTTTCAAAAAAAAATTAACCTTAAAAATTCTTTGAAATTATTTCAAAAATAAAACACAAGGAGCCCCCGGAATTCTTTTTAATTTCTTTCAAAAACAAAACAGTCAGGTCATCGAAATTCCTTTAAAAATAAAACACCAGAAACTCTCGACATTCTTTTAAATTCCTCAAAACGAAAACTCCAGAAGTCCCCGAGATTCTTATATATTTTTTCGAAGTACCAAGAAACCCAGGTTCTTTTAAATCCTTCAAAAAACAAAACACTTGGAAGCTCAACGATTCTTTTAATTATCTCAAAAACAAAATAATAAGGCCCTCAGAAATTCTTTCGAAAATAAAACAAAACACCAGGAACCCCCGAGATTCTAATAGAATCTTTCAAAAACACAACAGAAAAGACCATCGAGATTCTTTTATATCCTTCCGAACCACTGAGTGCAAGAGATTCTTTTAAAATCTTTCAAAACGCCATATGTCTTAAAGATTCAGTTACATTCTTTCAGAAACAATACACCAAAGGTTCCAGAAATTGTTTTAAATCCTTTCAAAATCGAACCAGTATAAGTCTTAGATTTTTTCAAAAATAAAACACCAAAGGTCCGAGAGGTTCTTTTAAATTATTTCAAAACACCAAGAACCCCTGATTCTTTTAAATTCTTTCAAAAACAAAAGACTGGGAAACTCAACGATTCTTTTAATTCTCTCAAAAACAAAATAATAAAGCCCTCAGAAGTTCTTTCAAAGATAAAATAAAACACCAGGAGCCCTCGAGATTCTAACAGAATCTTTCAAAAACACAACACAAAAGACCATCGAGATTCCTTTATATTCTTCCGAAATACTGAGTGTCCCAGAGATTCTCTTTAAATCTTTGAAAACACCATTGGTCTTAAAAATTATATTAAATTCTTTGACAAACAGTAAAAGGTTCCAGAAATTGTTTTAAATTCTTTCAAAATCGAACACAGTATACGTCCCAGAAATCCTCTTAGATTATTTCAAAAATAAACACCAAAGGTCGTAAAGATTCTTTTAAATTCGTTCGAAACACTAAAGATTCTTTTCAATTCTTCTAGAAACAAAACGCTGGAAAGCTCACACTAGAAAGCTCGAAAGTTTTTTAATTCTTTCGAAAATAGAACGCCAAAGCCCTCAGAAATTTTATTCAATTATTTTAAAAATAAAACACCACGAGCCCCCGAGATTTTCAAAATCATTCAAAAACACAATATAAACGACCTCGAAGATTCTTTTAAATTATTTCAAAATAGAACCAGCAAAATTCCCGGGATTCTTTTCAATTCTCAAAACACCAACACCCTCAGAAATTACATATTTTAAATTCTTTCAAAAACAAAACACAAAGGACCCCCAGGTTCTTTTAAAAGCCTTCAGAAACATAATACACAAAGGACTCCCAAGATTGTTTTAAATTCTTTAGAAACACCAAGGTCGACAAAGATTATTTTAATTCTTTTGAAACACCAGGAGACACACGAATTCCTTTAAATTTTTTCAAAACATCACGAGTTTCAGAGATTCTTTTAAAATCTTTCAAAAACACAAGAGAAAGGACTCCTAAAACTCTTTTAAATGCTTTCCAAACATCAAGGGCGGCAGAGCTTATTTTAAATTCTTTTCAAGACATTAAGGATCCCACAGATTCTTTTAAATTCTTCAAAAAACCCTCAAAAACTTTAAGATTCTTTCAATCCAAAAGCCCTTAAAAATTCTTTTAAATTATTTCAAAAATAAAACACAATGAGCCCCCGGGATTCTTTTTAATTTCATTCAAAAACAAAACACCCAGGTCCTCAGAAATTCCTTTAAAAATAAAATACCAGAACCTCTCGAGATTCTTTTAAATTCCTCAAAAAGAAAACTCCAGGAGTCCAAGAGATTCTTATATATTTTTTCGAAGTACCAAGAACCCGTGATTATTTTAAATTCTTCCAAAAACAAAAGACTTGGAAGCTCAACGATTCTTTTAATTCTCTCAAAAACAAAATAATAAAGCCCTCAGAAATTCTTTCAAAAATAAAATAAAACACCAGGAGCCCACGAGATTCTAACAGAATCTTTCAAAACGCCATAGGTCTAAAGATTCAGTTAAATTATTTCAGAAACAATACACCAAAGGTTCCAGAAATTGTTTTAACTTCTTTCAAAGTCGAACACAGTATAAGTCCCAGAAATCCTCTTTGATTATTTCAAAAATAAAACACCAAAAGTCGTAAAGATTCTTTTAAATTCGTTCGAAACACTAAAGATTCTTTTCAATTATTCTAGAAACAAAACGCTGGAAAGCTCATACTTGAAAGCTCAAAGATTTTTTAATTCTTTCGAAAATAAAACGCCAAAGCCCTCAGAAATTTTATTCAATTCTTTTAAAAATAAAACACCACAAGCTCCCGAGACTCCCAAAATCATTCAAAAACACCTCCGAGATTCTTTTAAATTATTTCAAAATAGAATCAGCAAAATTCCCGGGATTCTTTTAAAGTCTCAAAACACTAAGACCCTCAGAAATTACATATTTTAAATTCTTTCAAAAACAAAACACAAAGGAACCCCAGGTTCTTTTAAAAGCCTTCAAAACACTTAGAAACACCAAGGTCGACAAAGATACTTTTGAACCACCAGGAGACACACGGATTCCTGTAAATTTTTTCAAAACATCAAGAGTTTCAGAGATTCTTTTAAAATCTTTCAAAACACAAGAGAAAGGACTCCTGAAACTCTTTCTCTCATCAAGGGCGGCAGAGCTTATTTTAAATTATTTTCAAGACATTAAGGATCCTACAGATTCTTTTAAATTCTTCAAAAAACCCTCAAAAGCTCTAAGATTCTTTCAATCCAAAAGCCGTTAAAAATTCTTTTAAATTATTTCAAAAATTAAACACAAGGAGCCCCGGGATTGTTTTTACAAAAACACTGGAGTCCCTGACACTCTTTTAAACTCTCTTAAAAAGAAAATACAAGAGACCTCGAAGATTCTTTTAAACTCTTTCAAAAACACAAGGAATCTCTAAAATTCTTTCAAATTAGCTCAAAAACAAAGCACCCAAAGCCTCAGACATTCATTTAATTGTTTCAAAAATAAAACATCAGGGGTCCCCAACATTCCTTCATGTTAATTTAAATGTTACACAAAAAGCCGCAAAAATTTTTTCAAATTCTTAAAAAAAAGATACCAAGGGACCCTGAGATTCCTTCAGACTCTTTCAGAAACAAAATACCAGAAATTCAGAAAAACTTTTTCCAAATTCTTTCAAAATCGAAATATCAAACAATTTTTAAAAAATTGTAGGACCAGAAAGTTTGGTGACAAAAAAAATTATCTAAAAACAGAAATTGTAACTGAAAATCTATAAACACTCTCCCTTGAACAACAACAAGAATTTTAAAATGAAAAACTCAAAAAAAATCAAGTGTGCTCACTGCTCATACTATACAGTGCAAAATTAAAAAAAATGATGAAGAAGGACGATTATAGGAAATTAAAGTAACAGTACACATAATGGAGGGGATCTTCAAAAATGGTATAAATATTATAAAATAAAGAAGGAAAACCTCAATTCACAAAGAATAAGGAATTAAAAAAAGGGAATATTTTGTAAATCGCCTCCAACTTTAGATTTGAAAGGACTATTCTACACAAAAGGAACAAAATAATGACAACTTGATAGTTCTGTAAACAATGAATATAATAAAGAAATTTACACAAATAACGTATTATTTTATTTTTTAAACCAAAATTGTGATACACAACTGAAAAAACTCTAAACATTCTGTTCTAGTTATAACTGACAAAAAAATGAAACTTTTTCAAATTTTTAAATCTTTTCTTTTTTTGTTTCAGATGATTAAAATGATGGTCATCGTCGTTTGTGGATACACACTTTGCTGGCTCCCCTACAATATTCTACTGGTAAGTATTAAACATGCAAACGATTTTAATAAAACCGCTCCTTCCCGGAGAAAATCATTCTCATCTTCCCTTGAGAGAACAAGATAAACTTTCACCTTTGAATCTAGCAACTACTTTACCCTCAGTGAAACTGTGTGTGCAAAATTGGCTCAATTTTTAATAAAACCTCGCCACATAATCACGAAAATCAACCTCAAACATAATTTTCTTGACTCTTAACCCTCAACTAAAACATTTGAAACAAACTTTGACCACTTACTTTTTGACTTAGAAGATTTTCGGTTAATTAATCGGACGAAATTCAAATGCTAAATCGGCCGAAAAATCTCGCCCGTGGAACACCTGCTGCTCGGGGACCGAAATAAAGTAATAATTACTTTAGAATGGGGCGAATAAAAGTCAATAACAAACTGTTCGCGAACTTGGCGAGGGAGTAATCAAATTATTATCTCGGATTAAATCTCGCGATAACACCGGTGTAGATTTAACCGCGAAAAGCAATCGTGAAAATTATTAAGTTAATATTGACTTAATGTGATTACTTCATTTATAAAATCATTTCGCAAATTCGCTGATTGAATCTGGCGAATGTAAAACCTAAATTTATAATTAACCGCACAGAGGAATGCAAATTTGGCTAAATCCGGCCGGCACGAGGCGACGCAGGGCCGGAATTACGCCCTGGGCGTTTTAGCGGACGCATTATTGTTATACTGGGCGTCCGTAAATGTTTGTCCATCAAGTTGGCCGCGACGGAAATGTCAAAAAGGTTTTGAGTCAATTTTGCCGCTCTGAAAAAATCGTTGCAAAATTTAGCAATTACAGAAGTGTATTACTGGTTGCCTAACAACAGGTGTCTCATTTTAAAATTGTTTCCAACACAACTTTTTTTAATAATAATAATAACAATAACAGTCAGTGGTACGATTGGCACTTTTTTAATTTTTTAACTAACCCCGCCCACCCACCCGTTCTCCATTTCAGTGATATATATTTTATGTATTCTGGAAATACTGGAGAAATCGAAAAATCAAAAGGTTAAGAAATTGAAAAGCCAAAAAGTCGAAAAAATGAAAAATGGAAAAGTTCAAAATTGCAAAAATTGATAAATCGAAAAGTTGAACAATCGAAATACTTAGACCAAAATCGAAAAACGAAAAGTTGAAAGTTGAAAAATCGGAAAATCGAAAAATCTAAAAGCGGAAAAGTAAAAAAACGAAAAAAACGGAAGAATTGAAAAACTGGGAAACCGAAATAGGCCAAGATAAAAAGTCGAAAAGTTATAAACTGAAAAATCCCAAAACTGAAATTTCCAAAAACTGAGAATCTAAAAATTGAAAAACTGAGAAATCGAAAAATCGAAAAACTGAGTCGAAAAATCGAAACCTTAAAAAAAATCGAAAAATTGAATGATCAAAAACTCGAAAAATTAAAGAACAGGAAAATCGAAACATTGACTCATTGAAAAATCGAAAATTTGAAAAAACGAAGAATTAAAAAAGAGAAAACTTAAAATCGGGAAGTCCAGAAATCGAAACATTTGAAAAATCCGAAAACTTGAAAAATTGAAATATCGAGGAACTGAAATGAAAAATCGAGAAATCGAAAAATCAAAAATTTTAAAAATTGAAAATTTAAAATACCAAAAAATTTAACAATCTAAAATTTTAAAAACGAAAACTTGAAATATCAAAAAAGTTAAAAAATCGACACATCGAGAAATCAAAAGTCAAACCTTCGAAAATCGAAACACTCGAAAGTCAAGAAATGGGAAAATCAAAACATCGATTCATTGAAAAATCGAAAAATTGGGAATCTAAAGATCAAATTTGAAAAATTGAAAAATCAAAAATTTTAAAAAACGAAAAATTGAAAAATTGAAATGAAAACTCGAGAAATTGAAACATCTAAAATTTAAAAAATTGAAATATCAAATTGAAAAATCGAAAAAATAAAAAAATCGACACATCGAAAAATCCAGAAGTCAAAAGTATATCCGAAAATTCCAAAAGTGAAATTTCGAAAAACCGAAAAATTGAGAAATCGAAAAATCAAAAAAGTGAAGGCGAAAAATCAAAACTTGAAAAAAATCGAAAAATTTAAAAATCAAAAACCCGTAAAATCGAAAAATTAAAGAATTGAAGAACTGGAGAATCGAAACAGTCGCAAGTCAAAAAATGGGAAAATCAAAACATCGATTAATCGAAAAATCGAAAAATTGAGAATTTGGTCAAGTCAAAAATTGTAAAATTGAAGTTTTGAAAATTCTAAAATTTAAAAATTCTAAAATTGAATAATAAATATTCTAAAAAATCCCAAAACTGAAATTTCGAAAAACTGAAGAATGGAAAAACTTGAAAATCTCAAAATTGAAATATCCAAAAAATTAAGAAACCAAAAAGTCAAAAAAGTAAATTCGAAAAATCAAAACTTTAAAAAATTGAAAAATTGAAAAACCTCAAAACTGAAACATCCAAAAACCGAGAATCTAAAAAATTGAAAAATTAAGAAATCGAAAAATCAAAAAAGTGAAGTCGAAACATTGGAACCTTAAAAAAACTCGAAAAATTGAAAAACAGGAAATCTAAAACCGAAAGTCGAAAAATCGAAAATTTTGAAAAATTTAAAAAATTTGAAAAATTTAAAAATTGAAATATCCAAGAACTGAAATGAAAAATCGAAAATTTTAAAATTGAAAAAAAATCAAATTATTGAAAAATCTGAAATTGAAAAATCGAAAAAATAAAAAAATCAACACATTAAAAAATCCAGAAGTTAAAAATCGAAAAGTATATCGAAAAATCCCAAAAGTGATATATATATAGAAAAACTGAGAAATGAAAGAAAAACTGAATAATGGAAAAACTGAAAAATCACAAAACTAAAATATCCACAAAATGAGAATCCAAAAAACTGAAAAATTGAGAAATCGAAAAATCGAAAAAGTGAAGCCGAAAAATCTTTAAAAAAAACGTTAGAAACTTAAAAAAAATCGAAAAATTAAAGAATTGAAGAACTGAACAATCGAAACAATCGCAAGTCAAGAAATGGGAAAATCAAAACATCGGTTAATCTAAAAATCAAAAATTGAGGATTTAGAAAAGTCAAATTTGAAAAATTGTAAAAACCAAATATTCAAAAATAATAAAATTGAAGAGGAGAAAAATTGAAAAACTGAGAAATTGAAAAATCGAAAAATTGAATAATAAATAAACTGAAAACACCCCACAACTGAAATTTCCAAGAATTTAAAAATAAAAGAAAAACTGAAAAATCTCAAAACTGAAATATCCAAAAACTGAGAATCCAAAAAACTGAAAAATTGAGAAATCGAAATATCAAAAAAGTGAAGTCGAAAAATTGGAATCTTAAAAAAAGATCAAAAAATTGAAAAATAAAAAACTCGAAAAACTGAAAAATTGGAGAAGAGAAAAATCGAAACATTCGAAAGTTAAGAAATGGGGTAATCAAAACAACGGTTAATTGAAAAATCTAAAAATTGGGAGTTTGTAAGTCAGATTTGAAAAATTGAAAATTTGGAAAAACGAAAAATTGAAAAACAGGAAATCTAAAACCGGAAAATCGAAAAATCGAAAGAATATGAAATCGAAACATTTGAAAAATTCGAAAAATTGAAATATCGAAGAAATGAAATGAAAAATCGAGAAATTGAAAAATCTAAAATTTTAAAAATTGAAAAATTAAGATTTCAATAAATTGAAAAATATATAATTTAAAAAACGAAAAACTGAAAAATCAAAAAAATTAAAAAATATATTAGAATATACTAGAATTCAAAAATCGAAAAGTATATCGAAAAATCCCAAAAGTGAAATATCCAAAAACTGAGAATCAAAAAACTGAAAAATTTAGAAATCGAAAAATCAAAAAAGTGAAGCCAAAAAATGGAAACTTTAAAAAAAATTGAAAAATTGAAAAACCAAAAACCCATAAAATCGAAAAATTGAAGAATTGAAGAACTGGACAAAAAAATCAAAATATCGATTAATTGAAAGTTCGAAATATTTAAAAATGGTAAAATCGAAGTTTTAAAAATTCTAAAATTGAAGATCGAGAAATTGAAAAACTGAGTGAATCGAAAAACTGTGAATTTGTAAAAGTCAAATTTGAAAAATTGAAACATCGGAAATTTCAAAAAACGAAAATTTGAAAAACAGGCAATCTAAAACAGGAAAGTCGAAAAATCAACAGAATAAGGAATGAAAACATTCGAAAAATTCGAAAAATTGAAAAATTGAAATATCGAAGAATTGAAATGAAAAATCGAGAAATCGAAAAATCTTGAAGTCAAAAATAGAAAAGTATATCGAAAAATCCCAAATGTGAAATATCGAAAAACTGAAAAATTAAAGAAAAGCTGAAGAATGGAAAAACTGAAAAATTCCAAAAGTGAAGTATCCAAAAACTGAAAACCCAAAAAATCGAAACTAAAAAAATATCGAAAAAATTAAAAATTAAAAACCCGTAAAATCGAGAAATTGAAGAATTGAAGAACTGGACACAAGTCGAGAAATGGAAAAGTCAAAACATAGATTAATCGAAAAATCGAAAAATTGAGAATTTAGTAAAGTCAAAAATAGGAAAATTGAAAAACCGCAATATTTAAAAATTGTAAAATTGAAGCTTTTTGAAAATTGTAAAATTAAAAAATTCTAATATTGAAGATCGAGAAATGGAAAAACTGAGTAATTGTAAAATCGAAAAATTAAACAATAAATAATCAGAAAAATCCCAAAACTGAAATTACGAAAAATTGAAAAATGAAAGAAAAACTGAAGAATGGAAAAAATTGAAAACCTCAAAATGAAATATTCAAAAACTGAGAAATTAAAAAATTGAAAAATTATAAAATCAAAAAGTCAAAAAGTGAATTCGAAAAATCAAAAGCTTAATGAACTGAAAAATTGAAAAACCATAAACCTAGAAACTTTGAAAATTGAAGAATTGAAAAAATGAAAAATAGAAAAACTGAGAGTTTATAAAAGTCAAATTTGAAAAATTGCAAAAACCAAATATTAAAAATCGTAAAATTGAAGAAGAGAAAAATGGGAAAACTAAAAAATTGTAAAATCGACAAATTGAATAATAAATAAGCTGAAAAATCCCAAAATTGAAATTTCCAAGAATGAAAGAAAAACTGAAAAATCTCAAAACTTAAATATCCAAAAACTGAGAATCTAAAAAATCGATGAATTGAAAAAAGGAAAAATTGAAACACAGGAAATCTAAATCCGAAAAGTCGAAAAATCGAAAGAATAAGAAATGGAAATGTTTGAAAAATTCGAAAAATTGAAAAATCTAAATATCGAAGAATCGAAATGAAAAATCGAGAAATCGAAAAATCTCGAAGTCAAAATTCGAAAAGTATATCGAAAAATCCCAAAAGTGCAATATCCAAAAACTGAGAATCCACAAAATTGAAAAATGGAGAAATAGAAAATTCAAAAAAGTGAAGCCGAAAAATTGAAACTTAAAAAAATCGAAAAATTGAAAAATCAAAAACTCGAAAAATTGAAGAATTGAAGAACTGGACAATCGAAACAGTCGCAAGTCAAGAAATGAGAAAATCAAAACAATTTAGTAAAGTCAAAAATTGAAATATTAAAAAATCGAAATATTTAAAAATTGTAAAATTGAAGCTTTGAAAATTCTAAAATATCGAGAAATTGGAAAACTGAGTAATTGTAAAATCGAAAAATTGAATAATAAACAATCTCAAAAATCCCAAAACTAACATTACGAAAAATTGAAAAATGAAAGAAAAACTGAAGAATAGAAAAACTTGGAAATCTTAAAATTGAAGTATCCAATAACTGAGAAATTAAAAAATTGAAAAATTATAAAATCAAAAAGTCAAAAAGTGAATTCGAAAAATCAAAACCTTAAAGAACTGAAAAATTTAAAAATCATAAACCTAAAAAACTTTAAAAGTGAAGAATTGAAATAATGAAAAATAGAAAAACTGAGAGTATATAAAAGTCAAATTTGAAAAATTGTAAAAACCAAATATTTAAAAATCGTAAAATTGAAGCAAAGAGAAATTGTAAAATCGACAAATTGAATAATAAATAAACTCAAAAATCCCAAAACTGAAGTTTCCAAGAATTGAAGAATGAAAGAATTACTGAAATATTTCAAAACTGAAATATGCAAAAACTGAACATTTAAAAAAATTGAAAAATAGCAAAATAGAGAAATCAAAAAATTGAAAAACCAAAAAACCGAAACAGTCGAAAGTCAAGAAATGGGAAAATTAAAACATCGATTAATTGAAAAATCGAAATATTCAAAAAATCATAAAACTGAAGAGAAGATAAACTGAAAAATCGTTAAAGTAAAACATCGGAAAAATAAGAAATCGAAAAAGAAAAAAATCTAGCAATCAAAAAATTGAAAAATTCCACCACTAAATATCGGAAATTGAGTAATTGAAAATTAAAACGTGTGAAATCGAAAGCTGAAAAAAGCCGAAAAATTCAACACGGCTTCATAAACCACAAGTTCAGGACTATGTTACTTTTTAACATTTAAAGGAGTTATTTTACTCTTGCATAATTTAGAAATTTTTCAAAAAGTTCCAAAAATGTCGATATTTCAACAGCCGTTTCTAGAAAAAACGGCTGGAGTTATTAAAGAAACGAGATCGGAAGTGAGTTTTAGAACTCGAAATTTGCAAGAAAATATATTTAGTTAAATTTCGAAAATCGTCCGAAAATCAGTCTAAATTTCAGTTGTGAAAAAGTCGTCTAAAAATTCTCAAAAAATTCAGGGTTACAGATCTCAAGGTGCTGATTCCAAAAATATAGCGTGTTTATGGTAACGAAGCAATATTTTCGAAATATTCGGAGTGAAATTCGAATTTTTTGAATTTTTTACAAATGGCGATATTTCAGGTGTGATTCTGGAAAAACGATTGGAGTTATGGAAGAAATGAGGAGAGAAGTGACTTCTCTTCTCATTCATTCGCAGCTTCAAGCTATTTTAGTGACGAAATTATTACAGTACGCATAGTTCAATTTGGTCCCATAACCTGTTATAGCATGAAACTGACTTTCAAAATCATTAGAAAGACGATATGATTATCTTGATTGTATTCTTGTCTCGTCAACAAGACTGAATGCGATGAATATTTTCATCAGCACGCAATTCATACACTCCAGGTTTTTTACCCAACGAAAACTAATAGCTCACCAGAGCAGATCTGACTTAACCCGACACGCAACAAATCACGTACCCAAAAAATAACCATCTTAAACGCTGTTTATAAATTACGTATAAGCAGCTGCTAGACTTGCCCCATGAAAAATGATGCTCCAAGCATTTATATTAAAAGGAAATTTTCATTACTTTACGGAGGACGCGTCGTCCGACGAGAAGGACGATCCTGCCGGGAATTTCGTGATTGTAGTTTTTTCATTTTTTTTAGGTTGTCAAAGAGATGATTAGTCCGGGGGTTATGATCTACTTATATTTTCCACTACACGGTCTGGCGATGTCACATGCTTGCTACAATCCCATCATTTACTGCTACATGAATGCTAGATTTCGAGATGGGCTGGTGCAAGTGCTGCGGTCTATACCAGGACTGCGGAGATGTGTAAATCCATTATCGACGTCGTCGGGATTTCCACACACAGGTGAGAGTCGTCTTCGTCAAGTGCTTTTACTTTTATCAAAGCCGTGATAAATTTCGTAGCTGCGCGACTCAATTTTTTTGTGTGATAATTGTCGTTCCATCACTGAAATTAACCACGTTTCTGTAATGGAATTATTATGCGACACAAACAGCATCAGCATTCAAACTCTGTTTCCGGATTCAATATTTCAAACAATTAATTACTGCCACGACCACAACAGACTGCGGCTAAATTCGCTACGTTCAATAAAATAAAATCTGTGCTCGTAAAATTAATTTTGGTTTGATTTCATTTTAAACTCTTATCGGGTTGCAGCAGTTTGAAAATTTGTGGAGTCGTGCGACGAACTCGCCGCTTTGTTTTGATAAAGACGCACGAAACAATTTTTATTGTTGACACACGCTCGGAGCTAATAAATTGGAATAATAATCCCCTTCAATTCGAAAGCTAACAATGCTTTTTGCTCGTCGTGTGAACGACAAACAAATTATGGGAGCTTCGGGTTCGTTAAAATGGAGCTTGGGACTTTTAAGCTGCTTTGGTATCGAATGTTATTACACGTAGTGTGGAACACTTAACTTGGAAAGTGGTCGATTTTACTCGGTACGTAAAAAGAAGTCTTTAGATTATTTAAACCATGTCGGAGGAGATAAATACGCACTTCAATATTTATTCCTCTTAAATGGAAAATTTAATTTTGTAATAATGTCATCTGATTGATATCAAAGAAACGAAGTTCGAAGTGAGTTCTAGAGCTCGAAATCTACAAGAAAATGTGTTTAGTTGAGTTTCGAAAATGTCAAAATTTGGCCGAAATTTGAAAAAATTTCACTTTGATAAAAGTCGTCTAAAAATTGCGAAAAAATTCAGGGACGTAGATCTCGACATGCTGATTCCAAAAATATGACATGATGATGGTCTCGGAGCAAGATTTTCGAATGAATCGATACGAAATGCGAATTTTTGAGAATTTCTAAAAATTTCGATTTTTCAACGGTCGATTACGGAAAAACGGTTGCAGTTATCGTAGAAACGAGGCCGGAAGTGAGTTCTAAAGCTTGAAATCTACAAGAAAATGTGTTTAGTTGAGTTTCGAAAATTTCAAAATTTGGCCGAAATTTGAAGAAGAGAGGACCATTGAAAATTTTTCACTTTTCAAAAAGTTGTCTAAAAATTGTGAAAAAATTCAGGGACGTAGATCTCGACATGCTGATTCCAAAAATATGGCATGATGATGACCTCGGAGCAAGATATCCGAATGAATCGGTACGAAATGCGAATTTTTGAGAATTTCTAAAAATTTCGATATATTTCAACGGTCGATTCCGGAAAAACGATTGCAGTTATCGTAGAAACGAGGCCGGAAGTGAGTTCTAGAGCTCGAAATCTACAAGAAAATGTGTTTAGTTAACTTTCGAAAATGTCAAAATTTGGCCGAAATTTGAAGAAGGGAGGACCATTGGAAAAATTTCACTTTGAAAAAAAGTCGCCTAAAAATCGCGAAAAAAAATTCAGGGACGTAGATCTCGACATGCTGATTCGAAAAATATAGCATGATGCTGGTCACGGAGCAAGATTTCCGAATGAATCGGTACGAAATGCGAATTTTTGAGAATTTCTAAAAATTTCGATATTTCAATGGTCGATTCTGGAAAAACGGTTGCAGTTATCAAAGAAACGAAGTCCGAAGTGAGTTCTAGAGCTCGAAATCTACAAGAAAATGTGTTTAGTTGAGTTTCGAAAATGTCAAAATTTGGACGAAATTTGAAGAAGGGACCATTGGAAAAATTACACTTTGATAAAAGTCGTCTAAAAATTGCGAAAAAATTCAGGGACGTAGATCTCGACATGCTGATTCCAAAAATATGGCATGATGATGGTCTCGGAGCAAGATTTTCGAATGAATCGGTACGAAATGCGAATTTTTGAAAATTTCTAAAAATTTCGATATTTCAACGGTCGACTCAGGAAAAACGGTTGCAGTTATCAAAGAAACGAAGTCCGAAGTGAGTTCTAGAGCTCGAAATCTACAAGAAAATGTGTTTAGTTGAGTTTCGAAAATGTCAAAATTTGGCCGAAATTTGAAGAAGGGGGGACCATTGAAAATTTTTCACTTTTCAAAAAGTTGCCTAAAAATTGTGAAAAAATTCAGGGACATAGATCTCGACATGCTGATTCCAAAAATATGGCATGATGATGACCTCGGAGCAAGATTTCCGAATGAATCGGTACGAAATGCGAATTTTTGAGAATTTCTAAAAATTTCCATATTTCAACAGTCGATTCCGGAAAAACGGTTGCAGTTATCAAAGAAACGAAGTCCGAAGTGAGTTCTAGAGCTCGAAATCTACAAGAAAATGTGTTTAGTTGAGTTTCGAAAATGTCAAAATTTGGCCGAAATTTGAAGAAGGGGGGACCATTGGAAAAATTTCACTTTTCAAAAAGACGTCTAAAAATTGCGAAAAAATTCAGGGACGTAGATCTCGACATGTTGATACCAAAAATATGGCATGATGCTGGTCACGGAGCAAGGTTTTCGAATGAATCGGTACGAAATGCGTATTTTTGACAATTTCTAAAAATTTCGATATTTCAACGGTCGATTCCGGAAAAACGGTTGCAGTTATCGTAGAAACGAGGCCGGAAGTGAGTTCTAGAGCTCAAAATCTACATGAAAATGTATTTAGTTAAGTTTAGAAAATGTCAAAATTTGACCGAAATTTGAAGAAGGGGGGACCATTGAAAATTTTTCACTTTTCCAAAGTTCCCTAAAAATTGCGAAAAAATTCAGGGACGTAGATCTCGACATGCTGATTCCAAAAATATGGCATGATGGTGGTCTTGGAGCAAGATTTTCGAATGAATCGGTACGAAATGCGAATTTTTGAGAATTTCTAAAAATTTCGATATTTCAACGGTCGATTCCGGAAAAACGGTTGCAGTTATCAAAGAAACGAAGTCCGAAGTGAGTTCTAGAGCTCGGAATCTACAAGAAAATGTGTTTAGTTGAGTTTCGAAAATGTCAAAATTTGGCCGAAATTTGAAGAAGGGGGGACCATTGAAAATTTTTCACTTTTCAAAAAGTTGTCTAAAAATTGTGAAAAAATTCAGGGACGTAGATCTCGACATGCTGATTCCAAAAATATGGCATGACGATGACCTCGGAGCAAGATTTCCGAATGAATCGGTACGAAATGCGAATTTTGAGAATTTCTAAAAATTTCGATATTTCAACGGTCGATTCCGGAAAAACGGTTGCAGTTATCGTAGAAACGAGGCCGGAAGTGAGTTCTAAAGCTCGAAATCTACAAGAAAATGTGATTAGTTGAGATTCGAAAATGTCAAAATTTGGCCGAAATTTGAAGAAGGGGGGACCATTGAAAATTTTTCACTTTTCAAAAAGTTGTCTAAAAATTGTGAAAAAATTCTGGGATGTAGATCTCGACATGCTGATTCCAAAAATATGGCATGATGATGGTCTTGGAGCAAGATTTCCGAATGAATCGGTACGAAATGCCAATTTTTGAGAATTTATAAAAATTTCGATATTTCAACGGTCGATTCCGGAAAAACGATTGCAGTTATCAAAGAAACGAAGTCCGAAGTGAGTGCTAGAGCTCGAAATCTACAAGAAAATGTGTTTAGTTGAGTTTCGAAAATGTCAAAATTTGGCCGAAATTTGAAGAAGGGGGGACCATTGGAAAAATTTCACTTTGATAAAAGTCGTCTAAAAATTGCGAAAAAATTCAGGGACGTAGATCTCGACATGCTGATTCCAAAAATATGGCATGATGGTGATCTCGGAGCAAGATTTTCGAATGAATCGGTACGAAATGCGAATTTTTGAGAATTTCTAAAAATTTCGATATTTCAACGGTCGATTCCGGAAAAACGGTTGCAGTTATCAAAGAAACGAAGTCCGAAGTGAGTTCTAGAGCTCGAAATCTACAAGAAAATGTGTTTAGTTGAGTTTCGAAAATGTCAAAATTTGGCCGAAATTTGAAGAAGGGGGGACCATTGGAAAAATTTCACTTTGATAAAAGTCGTCTAAAAATTGCGAAAAAATTCAGGGACGTAGATCTCGACATGCTGATTCCAAAAATATGGCATGATGATGGTCTCGGAACAAGATTTTCGAATGAATCGGTACGAAATTCGAATTTTTGAGAATTTCTAAAAATTTCGATATTTCAACGGTCGATTCCGAAAAAACGGTTGCAGTTATCAAAGAAACGAAGTCCGAAGTGAGTTCTATAGCTCGAAATCTACAAGAAAATGTGTTTAGTTGAGTTTCGAAAATGTCAAAATTTGGCCGAAATTTGAAGAAGGGGGGACCATTGGAAAAATTTCACTTTGAAAAAAGACGTCTAAAAATTGCGAGAAAATTCAGGGACGTAGATCTCGACATGCTGATTCCAAAAATATGGCATGATGATGGTCTCGGAACAAGATTTTCGAATGAATCGGTACGAAATGCGAATTTTTGAGAATTTCTAAAAATTTCGATATTTCAACGGTCGATTCCGGAAAAACGGTTGCAGTTATCGTAGAAATGAGACCGGAAGTGAGTTCCAGAGCTCGAAATCTACAAGAAAATATGTGTAGTTAAGTTTCGAAAATGTCAAAATTTGGCCGAAATTTGAAGAAGTTGGCAAAATTGCACTTTGATAAAAGTTGTCTAAAAATTCTGGAAAAATTCAGGGACCTAGATCTAGACATGCTGATTCCAAAAATATAGCATGTTGATACATTATGAAGTGGCTTTCCAAAAAAAAAGTTAACACGTTGTTCATTATACATATTATGGCGTAAATTACAAATTTAGACTGATTTTTGTTCTAGCGAAAAGTGTCAAAATGGTTTATATTCAAATGGAAAAACTAGTTTGTTGAGAATTTGTTATAAATTATGAACCTTCAGGTGTTTTTGTTACAGTTTTCATTGAATTACAGAAAAAATAATTTCGCATTGAAAAAAGCTTTGTAGATTACGAATCTGAAGTACCTTCGACCAGTCTTCTTCTTCAAATAAACGCAAAAATTAGAAAATAATGTTTAAGAACTTTCCAGAAAAATGTTCAAATGAAAATAATGTTCGTAAATTCCGTATCTCGAAGATGCTAAAACGGGTTCTGTTTACACCAAATTCTCATAACAATCAAGTTTGTAGTTTGCTTCTACGATAACTCGTAATCGTTCTAATCAAATCATCGGTTCATCGTTCCGGAGCGAGTTTCGAAAATGGATTTCACAGTACAAAATCCAGAATTAGGCCTGCTAAAAGCTGCTCGACGAGTCTTAATCCTGATAACAACTTTGATGGCGCACTCACGGCCTGCAATAAAGGATGCCTTAACATTAACCTCCATATCTTAAATTGACCATAAATTATATTCACTACAGCAATCCCGCGAAGCTACAGCTCATTACGTCCTTTAATCGCCATTATGCGCCGCCTCCGAGACTTTTCCGACATTAAAATGAAACATGTTTTCTTTCCGCTTTATTAAACCAACAAGAATAAATAGTGATTTCGACACTTTCCCGCCTAACGAAGTTGTGCGACGAAACGAGAACCCATTTTAGTTTCATATTTTCGGGTCTTAAGCGTTTGACGGAATTGGAAACCCTTATTTAGCGAGTAGTACAAGCTCTGGAATAAAAAAGCCAACATTTATGCTTGTTTTCGATTGAATTTTCACTTTCCTTTATCAACCTAATCCTCGAACCGAGTATTGTCCTGGAGGATGAATTCAATTGTCGCTGGGTCAAGGAGCTCGATAAAGTATATTCTATTTTTGCGGGATACGACTTTATAGGGGTTCGACCCGAGTCGCTCGCTTGCATCGCACTATTCCTTTTAAAACTCCTTGTTGTTACTTATTGCAGGGATGGAAGGCAGCACTGAAAGTACATTTCTCCAGAGAACGAACACCTGTACAACGTATATCAGTATGAAGCGCAAGAACTGTAATCGGACGTCCACCTGCAACCACCAGCTGCCGGTGCGGTCGGCGTCTTTGTTGAGGACCTCGAACTCGCACAACGGGGTCCGGAGGATAAGGTACCCCCCGAACGTCCTCGACGAACAGATGTAAAGTGTGTTTACGAAGTATATGTGATTAATTTAATTTAAGTTAAGACTAAGTTAAAGAATACATGTCCAATTTATGTAGTTCCGAAATGACACATTTTGTTTATTAAATGATTAGAGAACTGAGTGCGTTTCTCTTCGTCGATTCCGGAATCTCCCGGATTTCGTTCGACTTTTATAGACAAAACGGAGCACTTCCAACGGAATTTACGGCTTCTTCAATTCTCGGTTATTACCGACTGAGTGAATACTCTACGTTGCACCAGCTGCTCGAGCTCTACACTTGGCGTTGCAATTTTCGTAAAGCGATGGAACTGTTTTAAAATAAATCCAGACGATTGTAGCAGAAGCTTTAAACGAAGGGCAAAACAGGTAAACCAAAATAAAGCAAACATCTATAATAAAATATTAACAGAAGCATATCCTTAATTCTTGAAAATTCTGAAACTTTTCACACAAATAATTACTCACACATCATTGTCGTCATAGAAACTGCATAATCAGAAAGAAAACGAGACAAATCATGACTACGATCACGAAAAAAAATTGTTTCAGTTCGGGTCATTTTCCTGCTTTGCGTAGAAATCTTTCTGTTGATTTTTCTCAAAACTTTGTAGGTGGAAGTCTGAGCAACTTGACTAGAAGCGGTCACTTCGTTGTCTTCTCGTTTCAAAGCCAAACTAGATATTATTTTCTCCAAGTTTCGCGATTTTCTGTTATTTAGAGTCAGTTCGATTGGTTTCTCGGTGTTTACCGAAGACGTGAAGATTTGTTTTTGGAAATTGGATAAATTCAAGCGTTCTAAATTGACCACGAGTTGTGGATTTTTTTCTTGTTTGGGTGTTTTTTGAATTTTGCGCAAATCTAAACGTTCTAATTTAACCACTAGTTGCATATTTTTCTCTTGTTTGATATCAATAGATGGAGATATTTTCTTAGTGGTGCCAGACGACTTCAAATCTTCTATGTTGTCCAAATTCTCTTGTCGCATTTTTTTTATGCTATTCGAAACAGATATTTTCCTCTTAACCATTCTAAAGCAATCTGTGGTGGATGATCCTTATTCTTGATTTGTATCTGAAACAAAAATGATCGTAGTCAATATGGTTACAAAATAAGTGTTTCATTCAAAATAAACAAAATAATATGCACATGACGTCATTGTGACATCCAAGCTTGACAGCCTGCGTCAAGTGAATTATTGCAAACGGATCGTTGTCTTTCTAACAATGTAATTATTAAAGAAATTGCACAACTTCGTACAAAAAATTCGGGTTCTTGCAGAACTAATATAAGACTGTTGGACGGCACACGCTAAAAATAAAACAGGACCGGTGACATGGGCCTTATATTTCTTGTTGCTTGAAAAACACTTGATTTATAAGGACTCTTAGACTTTATTGCGAATAGCATAGAAATGTAAAAATATAATATATAAGCTGTCGGCAGTATATGAAACGAAAACGTCCAAACGCTTTTGTACAAAGAAATTTAGGGTTTTTTAAATTAGTTTTTAGACAGAAAACAAAATAACACCACCCTTCAAAAAAAATTACGTTACACATCTCTATAACAGACATCTGGAAACTTGTAAGGGTCACTTTGACAATGAAAATATCGTGAACCATTTTTGAATAATAAGAACGTCGCAAACCAAACCTTTCGTAATTTATTCTCAAAGTGTATTTGGTGTGAAAAATCGTACAGCGTGTTTTAAGATTTCATTTTTTTTCCTGTCTGTCTCTGCTCCTTTATCTCTGTCTTCGTGTTCGCCTCCGCTTCTGTACCTGTAGCTTTGTTTCTGTCCTCTACTTCTGCCTCTATATCTATCGGTCTCTCCATTCCTCTTTTCTTTGTTTTTGTGTCACTCTCTCTATGTGTTTCTTTCTCTATCTATCTCTACTTCTCCACTTCTCCCTGTGTCCCTCTGTCTTTGTCTCTCTTTCTATCTCTGTAGCCGCATCTATGTCTTCGTCGCTTGGATTCTGTATTTTTTGTTTCTATCTCTTTTTATTTATCTGTTTTCCTCACTGTGTCGCGTTGTCTTTATTTTTCTATTTTTAGTTTTGTCTTTCCCACCTCCTCTGGCTCTATTTTTCTGCCTTTGTCTCTTTTTGTCTGCCTCCCTTTCTCTGCGTTTCTTCATTTCTTTGTCTCTCCCTCCCTCTAGATCTCGGGCTATGTGTTTACGTCTGTTTTTCTGTATTTGTCTCTTGGTTCTTGTCACTTTTTATCTCTATTTCCTTTTCTCTCTCCCTTTTTCCGTCTCTATCCTTGTTATTGTCTCTTTGTTTTTTTCTCTATGTCTGTCTCTGTCTATCTCCGATTTCGTCTCTAGTTCTCTGTCTCTGCTGCTCTATCTCTAGCTTGTCTTTCCCCTCGCCTCTTTCTCTATTTTTCTGTCTTTGTCTCCTTGCCTCTTTTTCCCTATATTTGACTATCTCTCTATCCCTCTTCTCCTCTGTCCCTATGTCTTTTTCTCGTGTCTTCTGACCTTTTTTGTCTCTGTCTTTGTTTCTATCTCTGTCTGTCGCTTTGTCTCTCCCCGTCTATTTCTTTCCCTCTCTCTATATCTACCACTCTGCCTCTGCCTGTCTGTCTCTATTTTTGGTCTACTCTCAAATTTATTCCCCCTTATGTTTCTATTCTTCTGTCTTTGTCTACATGTCTCTTTTTCTCTATATCTGACTGTCTCTATATCTCTCTTCTTACCGTTTCTCCGTTACTGTCTCTCTGTCCTTCTGCCTCGCTGACCTTCTGAATCTCTGTAGTTGCCTCTACATTTGTGTCTTTTTTGTCTATGTCTCCTTTGTCTCCTTCTGTTTCTATCTCTCTGTGGCGCTTTCTTCTCCTCCTCTGTTCCTCCCCCTCTACATCTACCCCTATATCTATAGTTTTGTCTCTGGCTCTGTCTCTGCTGATGAACCTCTAGCTTTGTCCTTGGCTCTGCTTCTGTCTTTATCCTTCTGTGTTTGTCTCTTTTTCTTTTTCTCCATCTCTGTGTTTCCGTGTCACTCTCACCCTGTTTCTTTCTCTACCTCTACTTCCCCACCTCTCCTTGTGTGCTCTGTATTTGCTTCCCTGTCATATGCCTCTGAATCTCTGAACCTCTATGTCTTCGTCGCTTGGATTCCGTATGTTTTTGTCTCTATCTCTCTGAATATCTATTTTTACTTTTCTTTTTCCCCACATTTAGCTCTCTTTATATCCTTCTTCTTTGTGTTTCTCCGCATTTCTAACTTTGTATCTTGATTTCCGTCTCTTTTCGTCTGCTTCCCTTTCTCTGTGTTTCTTCACTTCTGTCTCTCCCCCCTCTAGATCTCGGGCTCTCTGAATCTCTGGCTCTATTTTTTAGCCGCCTCTATGTCTTTATGTCCGTTTTTCTGCCTTTGTCTCTTGGTTTTTGTCATTTTTTATCTCTATCTCCTTTTCTCTATCCCTGTTTCTATCTCAATGTAAATTTCTCTTTTTGTTTTATCTGCCCTATCTCTGCTCCTCTGCCTCTACCATACTGTCTGTTTTCGTCTCTGGATCCCTGCTCCTGCCTATCTGCGTTTTTCTCTATGTCTGTATGTCTCCCTATCCCCCTTGTCTCTATTGCTCAGTCGTTCCCTGTTTCTTTCCCTTGCTATCTCAGAATTTGTATCTGGTACTCTGTCTCTGCTGTTCTATCTCTAACCTGTCTTTACCTTCGCTTCTCAATCTGACTATATCTCTATCCCTTTTCTCTTGGTTTCTCCAGCTCCGTCTCTCTGACTCTCGGACCTTATGGCTCTCTGAATCTCTATTTCTATCTCTATAGCCACATCCACTGTCCCTCTGTCTTTTCGTCGTGTCTTCTGATCCTTTCTATCTCTGTCTGCTTATCTCTGTCTTTGTTTCTATCTCTGTGTGTCGCTTTGTCTCTCCCGCTCTATTTCTTTCCCTCTCTCGATATCCACCACTCTGCCTCTGCCTGGCTGCCTCTGTTTTTGCTCTACCCTTAGATTTATCTTTCCCTCCCCTGTGTCTCTAATCTTGTCTTTGTCCACATGTCTCTTTTTCTCTATATCTCTCTTCTTACCGTTTCTCCGTCACTGTCTCTCTGTCCTCTTGTCTCGCTGACCTTCTGAATCTCTGTAGTTGCCTTTATATTTGTGTCTTTTTTGTCTATGTCTCATTTGTCTCTCTCTGTTTCTATCCCTCTCTGTCGCTTTGTTCTCCTCCTCTGTTCCTCCCCCTCTACATCTGCCCCTCTATCTATATTTTTGTCCTTGGCTCTGCTTCTGTCTTTATCCTTCTGTGTTTGTCTCTTTTTCTTTTTCTCCATCTCTTTCTTTCTGTGTCACTCTCACCCGATGTTTCTTTCTCTACTTCTGGTTCTCCACCTCTCCCTGTGTCGCTCTGTATTTGCTTCCCTGTCACATGCCTCTGAATCTCTGAATCTCTATGTCTTCGCCGCTTGGATTCCGTATTTTTTTGTCTCTATCTCTCTAAATATCTATCTTTACTTTTCTATTTCTAGCTTGGTCTTTCCCACCGCCTCTGTCTCTATTTTTCTGCCTTTGTCGCTCTATCTCTTTTTCTCCACATCTAGCTCTCTTTTTATCTCTCTTCTTTGTGTTTCTCCGCATTTCTATGTTTGTTTCTTGATTTCCGTCTGTTTTCGTCCGCTTCCCTTTCTCTGTGTTTCAACATTTCTATCTCTCCCTCCTTTTAGACCTCGGGCTCTCTGAATTTCTGGCTCTATTTGTTAGCCGCCTCTATGTCTTTACGTCGGTTTTTCTGCCTTTGTCCCTTGGTTTTTGTCACTTTTTTTCTCTATCTCCTTTTCTCTATCCTGTTTCTGTCTCTATGTAAATTTCTCTTTCTGTTTTTCCTACTCTATCTCCTTGTTTTCGTCTCTGGGTCCTGCCTATTTGCTATCCCTCTTGTCTCTGTTTCTCAGTCGTTCCCTGTTTCTTTCCCTTCCTATCTCCGATTTTATCTCTTGTTCTCTGTCTCTGCTGCTCTATCTTTAGCTTGTCTTTCCCCTCGCATCTGTCTCTATTTTTCTGTCTTTGTCTCCCTATATCTGTGTTTTTCCCTATATCTGACTATCTCTCTATCCCTCTTCTCTAGGTTTCTCCAGCTGTCTGTCTCACCTTATGACTCTGAATCTCTATCTCTATCCGCATCCTCTGCCGCTCTGTCTTTTTCTCGTGTCTTCTGACCCTTTTTGTCTCTGTCTCCTTATCTCTGTGTGTCACTTTGTCTCTCCTTCTCTATTTCTTTCCCTCTCTCTATATCTACCACTCTGCCTCTGCCTGTCTCTATTATTCTGGCTTTGTCTACCTGTCTCTTTTTCTCTATGTCGGACTGTCCCTATGTCTCTTTGAATCTCTACAGCCCTCTCTTAATTTGTGTCTGTGTCTCTCTGTTTTTGTCTCTTGATTTGTCTTTTTTTGTCTATGTCTCCTCTACTTCTTTTTGTTTCTACTGTGTCGCTTTGGGTCTCCTCCTCTATTCCTGTCCCTCCACATCTGCCCTTCCGTCTATATTTTTGTCTCTGGCTCTGTCTCTGCTGCTGTTCCTCTAGCCTTGTCCTTGCCTCTGCTTCTGTCTCTATCCTTCTGTATTTGTCCCTTTTTCTTTTTCTCTGTCTGTTTGTTTCCGTGTCACCCTCACGCTATCTTCTTTCTCTATCTCTACTTCCCCACCTCTCCCTGTGTCGCTCTGTCTTTGCCTCCCTGTCCTATGCCTCTGAATCTCTGAATCTTTATGTCTTCGTTGCTTGGGTTCTGTATTTTTTTGTCTCCATCTCTCTGAATATCTGTCTTTACTTCTCTATTTCTAGCTTTGTCTTTCCCACCGCCTCTGTCTCTATTTTTCTGCCTTGTCGCTCTATCTCTTTTTCCCCACATCTAGCTCTCTTTTCTCTGTGTTTCTTTATTTCTGTCTCTCCCCCCCTCTAGATCTCGGGCTCTCTGAATCTCTGGCTCTATTTTTTAGTTGCCTCTATGTCTTTATGTCCGTGTTTCTGTCTTTATCTCTTGGTTTTTGTCACTTTTTATCTCTATCTCCTTTTCTCTATCCCTGTTTATGTCTCTATGTAAATTTTGTTTTTCCCAGTCTATCTCTGCCCCTCTGCCTCTACCACACTGTTTGTTTTCGTCTCTGGATCCCTGCTCCTGAGTATTTGCGTTTTTCTCTGTATGTATGTCTCCCTATCTCTAGCGTGTCTCTATTTTTGTGTCTTTGTCTCCTTGTGTGTTTTTCCCTATATCTGACTATCTCTCTGTCCCTCTTGTCTAGGTTTCTCCAGCTGTCTGTCTGACCTTATGACTCTCTGAATCTCTATCTCTATCTCTGTGGCCATATCCTCTGTCCTTTTGTCTTTTTCTCGTGTCGTCTGACCCTTTTTGTCTCTGTCTCCTTATCTCTGTCTTTGTTTCTATCTCTGTGTGTTGCTTTGTCTCTCCCCCTCTATTTCTTTCCCTCTTTCTATATCTATCACTCTGTTTCTGCTTGTCCGTCTCTATTTTTGCTCTACCGTTAGACTTATCTTTCCCTGTCCTGTGTCTATTCTTCTGTCTTTGTCTACCTGTCTCTTTTTCTCTACATCTAACTATCTCTATATCTCCCCGAATCTCTGTAGCCGCCTCTAACTTGTATCTGCCTTCATCTGTTTTTATCTCTTGATTTGTCTTTTTTGTCTATGTCTCCTTTGTCTCTCTATGTTTCTATCTCTCCTTCTACATCTGCTCCTATGTCTATATTTTTGTCTCTGACTCTGTTTCCGCTGCTATACCTATAGTTTTGTCCTTGCCTCTACTTCTGTCTCTATCCTTCTTTGTGTATCTTTCTTTTTCTTTTTCTCAATCTTTTTGTTTCCGCATCACTCTTTCTCTATGTTTCTTTCTCTCCCTGTAACACTCTGTCTCTGCCTTCCTGTCCTATGACTCTGAATCTCTGAATCTCTATGTCTTCGTCGGTTAGATTCTGTATTTTTTGTCTCTATCACTCTTTATTTATCTGTCTCCATCACTTTGTCTCGTTATCTCTTTCCCTCTGTTTCGTTCTTTTTCTATCTTTACCTCTCTGTATTCCTTTTTACCTCTGGATCTCTGTCTTTACCTCTCTTTTTCCCTACATCTAGCTGTCTTTATATCACTCTTCTTTGTGTTTCTCCGCATTTCTATATTTGTCTCTCCGCCTTTGTTTCTTTCCTTCTCTCTGTATCTACCTGTCTGCTTCTGTATGTCTCTCCTTTTCTTTTTTTCTATATCTGTTTGCTTCTCCATCTTCTTCTTGGTCTCTCTCTCTCTCTCTATCTTTCGGGCTCTCTGAATCTCTGATTCCAACTTCAGCCGCCTCTGTCTTCATCTCGGTTTCTCTGTATTTGTCTCTTGGCTTTTGTTACTTTTTGTCTTTATCTCCCTCCCTCGGTCCCTGTTTTTGTCTATCTGTAACGTTCTCCCTCTTTTTTTTTGCCTCTCTATCTCTACCCCTCTTCCACATGGTCTGTTTTCATCTCTAGGTATCTGCCCCTGCTTGTCTTTGTCTCCTTGCATACTTTTCTCTATGTCTGTATGTCTCTATCCCTCTTGTCCCTATTTCCTCGTCTCTTTATCCATTTCTTCCTTTATCCCTCTGAATCTCTGTTTCTGTCTCTCTGTATCCCATTGTCTCTGTTCCTCTATTTCTTTCCTTCTCTGTCTGTCTCTCTTTCTCTGATTTTGTCTCTGCCTCTTGTCTCGGCTGCTCTATCTCTAGCTAGTTTTTCCTCTCGCCTCTGTCTCTATTCTCCTGTCTTTGTCTCTTTTTCCCTATATCTATCTGAATCTCTATCTCTACCTCTATAACCACCTTCTTTGCCCATCTGTCTTTTTTCCTGTTTTCTGACACTTTTTGTTTCTATCTCCTTTTCTCTGTATTTGTTGTCATGTCTTTGTGTTACTTTGTCTCTCTCCTCTGCCTCTATTCTCCAGTTTTTGTCTATCTGTCTCTTTTTCTCTATATCTAACTGTCTTTATATCTCCCTTCTTACCGTTTCTCCGTCCCTGTTTCTCTGTCCTTTTACCTCGCTGACCTTCTGAGCCTCTGCAGCCGCCTCTATATTTGTGTCTCTGTGTCTTCGTCTTTTGATTTATTATTTTTGTCAATGTCTCCCTTTGTCGGTCTCTGTTTCTACCTCTCTGTACCGCTTTGTTTCTTCTCCTCTGTTCCTCTCCATCTACATGTACCCCCTGTCTGTTTTTGTCCCTGATTCCTCTATGTCATTTCCTCCCCCTGTTCTTTTCTTCTCTATCTCTACCCCTCTGCCTCTGCCACCATGTCTCTGTTTTTGTCTCTGGATCCCTACCTCTACTAGTATATCTATATTTTCTCTGTATCTGTATGTCTCTCCATCTCTCTTCTCTTCGTTTCTCCATTTCTCTGTGTCTCTGTCCCTCTATCCATCTTTTATCATATGTATCTGCTTCTATATCTCTGTGTCGCTTTGTCCCTATTTCCTTGTTTCTTTTCCTCTCTCTCTTTCTGTCTTTGTCTACCTGTCTCTTTTTCTCTATATCTGACTGTGTCTATAGCTCTCTTCTTACCGTTTCTCCTCCCCTGTCAATCTGTCTTTCTATCTCGTTGGCCCTCTGAATTTCTGTAACCGCCTCTATATTTGTGTCTCTGTCTTCGTGTCTTGATTTGTCTTTTTTTGTAGATGTCTCCCTTTGTCTGTCTCTGTTTCTATTTCGGTGTCGCCTTGTTTCTCCTCCTCTGTCCCTCTCCCTCTATATCTACCCCTCTACCCCTCTGTCTTTATTTTTGTTTCTGATCCTCTACTGTTGTCTCTCTTTATCTTCCTTGGTTTTTCATCTCTCTGTCTCTTTCCCTTTATCTCTCAAGTTCTCTGAATTTCTGGCTGTATCTCGGTAGTCGCATCTATGTCTTTAACTCCACCTCTCTATCTACTACTCAATCTTTGCCTCCTCCTTTGTCTCTATCCTTGTCGATTTGTCCACCTGGCTCTTTTCTCTATATTTGTATGTCTCTCTATCCCTCTTTTCTTCGTTTCTTTGTATCTCTGTCCCTCTATCTTCTTTCATCTATTGCTCCACCTCTTTGATGTCCTGAATCTTTATCTGCATAGTTTCCCCAGTTCTAATTTCGGTTTTTACCCTCTCTGCTTTTGTCTCTGTATCTGTTTCTATATATCTGCCCCGTTTTCCTTGTTTCTTTCCATCTGTCTCTATTTTTGTCTCTGACTCTAACTTTCTGCCTCCATTTCTCGATTTCTGTCTCTCTGTCTTACTGTTTCTCTACCTCGTTTCTCTGTCTGTCTTTCTATCTATTTCTGCCTGTCTGTTTCTGTCTCTTTATCTCTATATTCCTCTCTACCTCTGTCCGTTTGTTTCATTGTCTCTTTATCCCTTTATCCTTTTGCCCCTTGCCTCTCTGTCTCTATATTTCTGAATCGCTGTGGCTCTATCGCTATCTGCGTCTCAGTGTCTCCGTCTCTATATCTCTATCTCACAGTCTCTATATATCTATATCTGTAATTTTCTGTCTCTGAGTGTGTACCTGTTGCTATTATTTTGATCTTTTGAATCCTCTTTAAATTTATCAACCCATCTTCTCCAAAAAATTCATTCAAATCATTAATTTCAAAGTTCTAACAACATCTTGTACAATATTATTGACACATTAAAATACGAATTATCAAAAACCCGGTAATACAACGGGAATTTTTAATGCAATTTACTTTTATTTTGTATTAATAAATTATTATTAAAATAAAAATTAAATTATTATTTGTGGTAAACGTGAAAAAACTGAGTCAAGCTAGGTCAATTTTTTAGACTTTTTTAAACAAAGTTGTGCCTTCATTTGACACAAAACTATTAACGATTTTAAAACCGTGAGGTGCTCGATTTATCATCCAACACCACATATATTATTTATTTTATTAGATTTAGATGCGATGCTGTACATTTTTCCAGCCATCACGGTTCAGAGCCTAAAGCGAATAATGTCATTTTTGCTAACGCCAACCCAAATTGGATTTTTTCAATATGTAATACGAAACCCACAAAAATCTAATCTATCAATAACCTGCGACGCCCGAATTTTTCACAAACGTTATCTAATCCCAAAAAGAACAAGTGTAACTCCTAAACTTCCCAAATATTTGTGTCTACATAACTTCTGTTAACCGTAAACACGCCAAACCACACACAAAGACCTAATTCCAAGAAGTGCACTCCAGCTTTCTTTGATCCGTCCAACATTGTCAGCGTCAAAGCGCGTTCGACTAGAAACATCCACAAGCTGCCAAAAAACCTCCGGAATAACGTAATTTCGATAAAATCCACGACAATCCTCTACGCTAATTCCAGGGCCCGATAACGAGCACGACGCACCGACTTTGTTTTTGTGTTAAGACAGTGATAAACGGTCTTATCAGCCCGTCACTGCCTACTCCAGCTCCTTGCGCAGTATGTTTACAAATATGTACATGCGAGAACCCGATTATCGATGCGGTTGTAGTTAATCTCTGGTGTACGGTGGATTTAATAAGTTGTTTATCGAGTTTAATAGCGATATTGTTACCTGGGAAAGTCGTGCGAGTGTTCAGAATTATGTCAAGCTTGAATGAGCTCAAACATGGCCGACATACAAATGCTTCCTAGTTCTGTGACGTTCGTCGACAATCGTGTAAGTATGAACGAGTGCTTTATTGGAACGTAATTGCTTTTTTGCAATTAAAATGTGACGTTGGTGGGAGGATGATGGATTATTTTAATTACACGTGATTTGTGACCTGTTTCTAATGACAGGCGTTCGAATTCGTTTAAGACACTTGATTTAAATTGGGTGAATAACAACTGAATTAAATAGTCGTTGGAGTGATGTTAAATGAACTGTTTTTACATAACACAATTTCAAGTCGTCTCAAAAATAGAAATATATACATAATTAATAGCAGAAAAGCGTTTTTTGGTTCTTCAAGTCAGGTTAGATCAGATCAGGTCAAGTCAGGTCAGGTCAAAGCAGGCCAATTCAAGTCAGGTCAGGTCCTCTGAAGAAAAGATTTAAATACATCCAAAATCGTATTATTTTACAATCTCTACAACTTCGACCTTTGGACTAATTTAGCCCATTACATCTTTAATCGAGTAACTAAATCAAAGTGGTGATCTAGATATTCAAAATTATCTGATTTCGTGTTTAAATCAGTCTACTCTAACTTTTTAAAATATTTTTTTACTATTTACTACGAAAAAAAAAACTGTGGGAAAAATAATTATATTAGTCTTTTGAAAATAGACTGTTTTAGGCACAGTAGTGTCGGAGATTCAAAAGAAAAAACTATGTTTAATGATAAGTTGAATAATATACAGGAATTTGACAAAAATGTCAGTCCTAATTTTTAAATACTACATGGAATTATGGATTTTCTTGCAACTCATCAGGTACAGTTTTAATTTGAGTCATATTTTCATCAACACCAACACTCTTTTTTTATCTCTGGCTCACGATCTTTATCTATCTATTTCTGTGTGTTTCTGTTTGTAACTGTTGTCATTATTTTATATATTTAAATTTTCGGGCATTTTCGAAATTTAACTGGATATTTTCAAAAAATTTTCAATTTGAAAAATAGCATGAAAATTTACGCAAATTTTTGACAATTATCAAAATATAATTAAAGACGTTTTCTTATGGATTTCGACCTCTAGAAATTACTGTCGGCCTCCTTTCGTCGATAGTTTCCACTATTTTATCAATCAAATATTTGAAATTTTTAATATGAAAAATGGTAATGAAAAGTTGTACCAATTTTCAATAAATTTCGAAATTTAATTAATAATAATAATAACTTATAGATTTCGACTTCAAGAAGTTTGTTTCAGTCTTATTTCTACCATAATTCCTATGATTTTTCCAGAATCGTTCGCTAAAATATTGCAATTTTTGGATTTAAAAAAAATATACTCCTATATTTTTAAACTGAATATTATTCAATCTAGCACTTGGAGCATTAAAACGTTACATTTTTGAAATCAGCACGACTAAATCCATATCCCAGAATTTTTTCGGAATTTTTTCAACTTTTTCAAATCCAAAATTTTATCAATGTAAATCCCTATAAAAATTTTGGTCAATTTTCCAGCTTTTAAAATTCAACTGAAGACATTTTTTGATGGTTTTAGACCTCCAGATGCACGACGAAATATCCCAGAATTGTTTTGAAATTTTCCAAATCCAAAATTTCCAAATTTAACTAAATACATATTTTAATTGATTTCGACTTCCAAAATATGTTGTAGGCTCATTTTTTCAGAAGCAAGACGAAATTTACATCTATCCCAAAATTTCTTCGGAATTTTTAATGTCATGCACCTCTTCAAAACCAAATTTTTTTTTCCAATAGCCGTCCCAATCAAAATTTCGACCAGTGTTCCACAATTTTCGAAATTTAACTAGACATTTTTTTAGATTTCAACCTCCAGAAGCACGACGAAATCTACGTTTATTCCAAAATTTTTGGACACTTTCAAAACCAAAAGTTTTCAATTTTTCTTTTTATTAAAAAAAAATATTTTCAAACGAATATTTTTAAATCTTTATATCTTTGGAATCACCACAACAGAATCTATATCTCAGAATTTTTTGGAAATTTTTTGACATCTTTCTCGAATATAAAATTTTTCAAAATAAACAATTATATGAAAAGTTCGGCTATTTTTCGACGATTTTCTAAATTTAATTAAAGACGTCCTTTTTAATGTCACCTCTTCAAAACCAAAATTTTTCTTCCAATAGCCGTCCCAATCAAAATTTCGACCAGTGTTCCACAATTTTCGAAATTTAACTAGACATTTTTTTAGATTTCAACCTCCAGAAGCACGACGAAATCTACGTTCATCCCAAAATTTTTGGAAACTTTCAAAACCAAAAGTTTTCAATTTTTCTTTTTATTAAAAAAAATATTTTCAAACAAATATTTTTAAATCTTTATATCTTTGGAATCACCACAACAGAATCTATATCTCAGAATTTTTTGGAAATTTTTTGACATCTTTCTCAAATACAAAATTTTTCAAAATAAACAATTGTATAAAAATTTCGGCTATTTTTCGACAATTTTCTAAATTGAATTAAAGACATTTTTTTTATAAATTTCGAACACCAAAAATTATATTTGGCGTCATTTCTTCGGTAGTTCCCACTATTTTCCCAGACTTTTTCTCAGAATTTTTGTGAATTTTTCCAAAACCAAAATTTTACAATATGAAAATTTTCGCCACTTTTCCTCAATTTTCGAAATTCATCCAGACATTTTTTTATAGATTTCGACTTCCAAAAGTTAGTTTGAGCTTCATTTCTTCGTTAGCTCCTACCATTTTTCCAGAATCACTCACTGAAATTTTAAAATAATATTTTTTAGAGATTTCAACCTTCAGAAGCAAGACGAAATTTCCGTATATCCCAGATTTTTTTTTGGAATTTTTTGGCAAGTTTTCAAAACCAAAAATTTTTAATACCCCCCAGCCCCATGAAAGTTTCTGCCAATCTTCCACAATTTTCAAAATTCAAATTAGTTTCGATACCTCTTTTCGGAATAGTTCACTGAAATATTGAAATTTTTTTGGAAAAAATATTTTCTATCCCAATAGTTTTTAATCTATGTTTTTGGCAATTTTTCCAAATCAAAAAATTTTCAAAAAAAAAATTTTATATTTTATAATTCAACCAAAGACATTTTCTTATAGATTTCGACCTTCGGAAGTTAGTGTTGATCTCATTTTTTCGATAACTCCTACTATTTTTCTAAAATCGCCTACTGAAATATTGAAATTTTGTGGATTAAAAAAAATATATATACATATTTTCAAATCGAATATTTTTCATTCTTGCTCAGGCTATATTTCTGGAATCAGCACGACGAAATCTATATCTCAGATTTTTTTGTGAATTTTTTGGCAACCTTTTCAAAAGCAAAATTTTTCAATGTTTTTTTAATTTCGGCCAATTTTCTACAATTTTCGAAATTTAACGAAAAACATTTCTTGATGGATTTCGACCTCCAGAACGCGACAAAATCTACGTAGATCCCAAATTTTTTTACCAATTTTTCAAAACCAAAATTTTTCGATATGAAAATTTCGGCCAATCTTCCAAAATTTTAGAAATATATAATAGTTTTCTATAGATTTCAGCTGCATTTCTTCGACAGCTCGTCCCATTTTTCCAGAATTGCCTACTAAAATATGTACTGATTTTTTGAAAAAAAAAATATCTTCAAACGCTATATTTTTAAATCTTGCACTGGGGCCATAAGAACGCTAGATTTTTGGAATCAACACGACGAAATCTATATTTCAGAAATTTTTTGGATATTTTTGCCAACTTTTTCAAAGCACAAAATTTTTCAAAATAAAAAATGGAACGAAAATTCCAGCTAATTTTCGACAATTTTCGAAATTTAATTAAAGACAGTTTTTTTATACATTTCGAACTCCAAAAGTTATATTCGGCGTTATTTCTTCATTTCTTCGGTAGTTCCTGTTTCCTATAAACGCTTTGGACTAAAAAAATTCAAATCCAATATTTTTAAATCATACCCTTGGAGCATTACCACGGAATATTGTTGGAATCAGCGCAACGAAATTTGTATCCCAGAATTTTTGTCAATTTTTCCAAAACCAAAATTTTTCAATATGAAAATTTCTGCAAATTTTTCACAATTTCCAAAATTTGACCACAGACATTTTTTATAGATTTAGACCTCCAAAAGATAGTTTAAGTCTCGTTTCTTCGTTCGCTGCAAACATTTTTCCAGAATCGCCCACTGAAATATTGCAAATTTTTGGATTTAAAAGAATATAAGTAGAAAAAATACGCATTTTCAAAACGGATATTTTTAAATGTTGCACCTGGACCATTAAAACGCTATATTTTTGGAATCAGCATGACGAAACCTACGTCCCGGAATTTTTTGAGAATTTTCTGCCAATTTTTCAAAAAGCAAAATTTTTCAATTTGAAAATTTAGACCAATTTCCCATAATTTTCGAAATTTAACTAAATACTGTTAATTGACTTCGACTTCCAGAATTTGTTCTAGACTCATTTTTTCGATAGCTCCTACTACATATTTTTTAAGAATTTTTTTTTAATTATTGCACTTTTTTGGATTTCAAAAATTGGTGTATATTTTCACACCGAATATTTTTAAATCTTGCACATGGACCATAAAGACGCAATGTTTTTGGAATCAGTACAACGAAATCTATATCCCAGAACTTTTCGAAAATTTTTTCAAAGAAAAATTTTTCAATAGGGAAATTTCGGAAAATTCCACAATTTTGAAATTTACTTAAAGATACTTTCTTATAGATTTCGGCCTTCAGAAGTCAGTGTTGACCTCATTTCTTCGACAGCTCCTACTGTTTTTCCAGAATACTCCACTGAAATAATTATTTTTTTTTTATTTGAAAACCGAATATTTTTTAAACTTGCCCAGGGAGCTATATTTTTTGAATCAGCATGACGAATTCTATATCCCAGATTTTTTTGAGCATTTTTTGGAACTAAATTTTTTAAATTTCAATATTTCGGCCAATTATAAATAAAGACATTTTTGATAGATTTAGGCCTCCAGAAGCAAGACGAAATCTACGTATATCCCAGATTTTTTTTGTAATTTTT